CATTGTCGTTGTCAATGTCGTTATCCTTGTGTTACTAATTATATTTCTATATTGCTACAACGTTAGCTTGGTTTGTTCTCAAGCGAAAACTTGCTGTTGATTTTAAAGGAGCAGGAAATCTCGGCAGCTCGTACACCCCCGCATGTCCGCGATATCGCTATCATGTAGAAAGAAAGCAGAGAGTCAGTGCACATATTGCCGTGAAGCACATTGTTGGAATTATATTCGCATGGCATCTATTCGTATCTCTTTGTTTTTGCGAACAATGAATGCCTTGTTGTGTGGGTTTTAAGTTCACTGAGGTCAAAGGTCGTTGCGGCAGTTGTGAAGTTGCTGAAACAAAAGCAACAAAAGATAAATGAGTGCATTGCAGTGCAGTACTATTCAACTCACTTCACACTTCAGTATCCATCTGGTAACGACCAGTCTGGAGGTCACAATGATGCCATGAAAAGCACTATGCAAATTTCGTCCATTATATTTGTTTTGCTTTGCAGTTTAATTTTTTGATATAATTTGCATTTCATTCCTAACAGGATTTCTTGTACTTGAAAATCAAAAATGTACTTGCATATATTTGCTATATCTGTAGAAACAATAGTAATTACTTGTATACTTACTTCAATTTAAGATAATTGTAATAATAACAACGATGACAACTGGCAGTTGAAGTCAAATTGCAATGTTGGAAGTGTTTGCAGAAAACAAAATAAGATAATATAAAGTAAGAGAGCTGAGAATGTAGTTAGTCACTAATGACTTCAGATTTCCCACAAACTTCAGTACTATTTGCTGATGCAATGGAAAAAGGAGACTTTTAAAAATCTATTCTTGTGCTGTGTGCGGTGAACAGCCAAGAACAAAGACAACAGAAGATTATTATTCAATTATTTGCTATGATTATTGGCAGCGAATCACAGATGTGATTTTCAGATGCAAACATATACATTTGCGTATAATTAAATAACTTTTCTTTCTTCAGCACGTTATGAAACAAACTATGGGATACTAAATATATTCATCATTTATTTAGTTAAATTTGCTAATAATCAATGCAGTGCAGTGAATAATATCTCATTTATTTTACCGCTTTCAGTTTATGAGGAAACCATAATTTATGCAATTTCAGTGTTGCATAGTTAGTGCTATATGAAACAGCTAAAATAAATGAAGCAGCTGTTAAATTCGCTGCTATAGTCGCAACAATATTTTGCGTCTTTATAATTTTAACATCATATTTTCATTTGAAGTAAATATGCCAACTACCTATCTCCCTTATGTGTATTTTGTGTGTGTATGTGTGTGTGCGTGCATGTGTGTGGATGCGTGTGTATGTCAGCTGTCTCCTTTATATATTTGTTTCGCGACTGCTAACAGTGTCCAGTTTTTAGGAAATCATATTGCTGAGCGGTACTAAAACTGCTACTTAAGCATTTCGCACTTTCATTGAAAAATTACAGCTGCAGTGACTTCTGTCAAAAAAATGGGATAAAGTTGCTTTTAATATAAGTATGAAAAAATGTCTGGCACAAAACATATCAAATTATGACCTAACTATTCCGAAAACAATGCACAACAAATGAATCGTTCTTTTGATCCAGTATTCACCGCATACAGTTTTTGTCTCCTTCTAGTACACACTTCTTGGCAATTATTATTTCTTATTCTGAATGATTTAACTGTTATTTACTGCCTTATTTCAGTTAAGCATATGCAAACTTATGTTTCATACCAGCAAAGAATTCACTTATTTGAACGTAAGATTTCTTACTCTTATCAACCAGGCAAGGGTTACTCCATTGCTTTTGCTGTAATGATTACATGATTGAAGCCGCAAGCTTTTTCTTGTTTTAAGAATAATTCATGAGTTAACATAGCAGATCATGTCACATTTATATGCTGATTGAAAGACGCATAACTTAAATGGCATACAGTACTGAGAATGAATGAACAATTTCACGTGTTGACTGCTGGTAATGGGCCATGAAGGAAGTAAAGCAGAGATGTTTTGAGTGATAAATTGAAAGATACACAAAGAGCAGCAGGAGGGAATAGTTAAAAGAGTTGTAAAGATAGTTTAGCGAGTGGACACAGAGAAGATTCAATTCCCGAGGACAAAGTTCACCTATAAATCTTACTGTAACACATGAAAAAAATCTCACTATCTCAGTCATTTATTACATTTATAAATAAGATATGAAAGATATTGAAAATCAAACAAAATTTTGGAAGGTAATTTCAAAACCAAATATTATGCACAGCTGCAAGATGGCATTTAAATTGCACGTAAGAAATTATTTAACTTTATTTTATTGTTTTATTTTTCAATTAAAGCAGTAAATACGTTTCCACAATTTTATGCCTCTTTCTTTTTTCTCTATACCAAAAGTATTAATTAATTACAGTAGTTCTAGAGAGTTTTTTTCTTGACAAATTTCGCGCTTTCAATTAAGTGCATATAAATTTTTCACTTTTCCTTGTTTTGGTCATAACATTTCAAGTTGTATAATTTTTGCTTGTAATGTTGTGAGTTCACATAGAATGCTTCCTAAATGCTCCAAATGTTGGAGAAAAAGAATCTGACCTACGAAAATTTGGCGCCAAAGAACTCGTTTTTCTTAATTTTTACTTCATTTTAAATATTTATTGCTACTTGCAATACCTCGTTTTTGAACTAAGAATGAACCAAAATAAAATATTCAATAATATTTTGTCAGCGATAGTTTTTATTACTTGTAATAAGGAATTTTTCAACCTTTCATCATTATTTTTGATAAGAGATTGAAAAAATGTGTCTTGTAATGATCGTTGACATGCATAAAGTTGCATAATGAACAGCAAATGCGATAATATCACTGATCAGTAATTGAGTTAACACAAAGAAAATTATGTAAGGAATTTCTTTGTGAATTGTGTCGCTTTCTAATATTTAATAAGGATTACTATTGAAGAAAGTACTCAAGATTTATGAGTTAATCTCGTGAGATTCAGATGTTTTGTGATAAAAATTTCAATTCATGAGTAGTTGCACACACTATTATATAAAGATGTCAACTCATTCAATATTTGTTGCATTTGAAAAACTAGAAGTTAGCTTGAACAAGCTTACAGACGAGCTTGCTCGTGGACTTTTCTTTTTCTAATTAACTTCCCATTTGTAGCAGATTATTGCTTGAAATC